GACAAATGCGACGAACATTGCAGACGTCTTGCATCCGACGGTGTCAATCTGAAAGAAATTTTTGGATATGAAAAATTTATTTTGTTTTTTGATGATATGATGGACTACGATGCCGTTTTTTGGATCCGATAGGCTACAGTGGACTATCTGGAGCAGTTTTGCTTACATAAAAGACCGTATCCCGGTAGCCTGCCTAAGAAAACGATGGAATGATAAAAATTTGAAATTTTGATTCTCTCGACGATTCTTTCATTTCGTTTTGATTGTGGTTCCCTTATTTTAAAGGTATCCCATAAGCTACTGTCTTTCATCGAGAATGAATATGAAAAATACTTAGGATATTTTAAATCATATTTCAACCAAAAAAAAAAAAAATAACACTTACAGTTTGTGCAATGAAGAAACTACCAGCGAGTATAGCACAATTACCGATTGCATTCAGTTTGACAATAGTTTCTCCATAGAGACCCCGTATACTGCCGAAATATATAAAAGGAATTATGAAACGACTGCTTTGTTCCAGAGTCTGATAAATGCCGTACAGAATGAATACTGACCAATAGAGACGGTGTTTTTCTTTCTCAGTAGCCATTTTTACCGCTCAGTTCCTGAAATGAAAATTTTCACCTCTGAAAAATTTTGAAATCCTGAAACCCTTAATATTTGATTGATTTGGTATCAGATTTTTTTGTTTATCCAAATATTTTTGTCATTTGAAAAATATTACAGATGCTTTTTGATTTTCAAATGTATCAATATATTTTGAATGATTACAAAGTTAGCTGAAACGGATTCCACTTCGCATCCCTCAGCTTATCACATTAAGGCAAATCAATAAGTTGCGACGAAGTAGAACATCCCTACGCTTTAGAATTCATACGAAGTTAAAGACGAAGGACTGCTACCAAGAAAAAGTTCGCTCGGATTTACAAAGATACACTGTGTGCCAGTCCCTTCGATCCTGAGCTGCATAGGTCCACTAGTACCTTCTCTCTACACTTCACAGATCATTTCCCTTTGAATTTTTCACATTATGTTTTCTAAAAAAATTGGGTGATATTGCGCCCCGTCCCCCTGATCTTCCCCTCCCCTTCCGTCGCTGAAAAATTCTTAGCTCTGTACCACTGTTTGAAGTATACGTCGTTTCTGGAAAACTTGCAAATATTTCCTAATAATTTTTCTAGAAATATAAAACAAAGGAGTAGTGGCAGCAGCAGTGATCATTTACATTTGATATTTAAATATTTTAAAATAAATATTTTGTGAGCTGAAAGAAGAAATTGAAAAATTTGAGCAAAATTTTGAGGAAATTTCCTTCCTAACAGCGCTAGCGGTGTTGATTCTTCGATGAATGCGTTTTTAGCAGTTTTGTGCGTTTATGCTTCGTCATTAT